TTTGCAACTGCCCTGTTCCTATGGGAGGGTGTGTATTGTGGTTTCAATTTTATGAGGGAACAGAAGCTCTGACATATTACAACTTGCTCAAGGCCACACAACATGACAAGGTTAATACATGATAGAATTTGAGGTCAACATTAGTTTTACCCAACTGCAGTATATTTTCATTCATATGCTCACTCAACAAATTTACTGAGGACCTACTATGGGTGACAGAGACCGGCATGGACAGAGCCAGTGTCATCCCCACACGGCAAAGCCTCTGGTCTCCTGGAGAAGATACACAACTAAGTAATTGATTGTAATTAAGTGTGGTGGGTGTTGTGGCAGAGAAGTGTATTTATTAAACATCGTGCCAGAGATTTTGCCAGAGGCTGGAAATAAGTTTACATGAATGCATCTGTGACCGGCCCTGCCTCCAGGGACCTGTTGCTGCTCACATCCCATATCCGCCTTTTTATCTGTCCAGCTATTCAACCACTGTTGGGCTGTCTGTAGAGATGCTCTTAGGGATGCTAAGAGGAACACCGACAGGCTCCCTGAATGCTCCCTGCCAGGGTTGGGGCAGCAAGGACCTCCTGAAAAAGCACGGTGGCAGGAGCAGCCCCTCAGCAACCAGCAAGTGGTGGGTTATTGCTGAGTGGACGGTGGGAGGGGCCTGGAGGGGGAATTGGGGGAGGCGTGGCTGGGGAGTCCACATAAAACATCTGGGAGAAAACGCGTTCTTTGAATTTCTGTTACAAATGCACAATAAAGATTAATTTTTTAAAATAATTACATTATGCCTCATTGGGAGTAGCTCTCCTTGGTATGAAATTTACGAATTGTTCCAGCTTTCATAATAATAAGGGAAACAAAATAGCTATGCTATTCCTCACCACTTACTCGATACTTGCCGTGTGCATGCTTGATGTTGTTTAATTTATGCAGTCACTCTGTTATGGGTATTGTATAGATGAGAAGGTTGAGCTTAAATAATGTACCCAAGTTTCCACAGCTAGTAAATGCTAGAGGAAGGATTCAAACCCAAGTCTTTCTGTCGTCAGAGCCCACCCTCTTAACCACCAAATCGCCGTGGTACCATCCAACATGGAGACAAATGACTATAGTGGTGGCTAGTGTGTGTCATGAATTATACCTCAGAGAGGAGTAATGAAGAAAGATTTTTAGTGTCTGTGGGGATTTGCCAGATAGCCAGTGGAAGTAAAGGCATCCCCTAAAGAGAAAATGGCATGAGAAAAGAGTGACCTAAAGTAGCCTGGATGTTCAGGAAATCACCAGTGGTGTGGTATTATTGGGTGGTGAGGAGGGAGGGGGGTAGTGAGCATGATAAGAGATGATGTTGGAGAGAGCAGAGGCTACTGCATCAAATGCCTTGTCTACCCAGTGGTGAAACTTGGGATTTTCCTCTAGGTGATGGGGAGTCATTAAAGAATTTAAGGACTTGGGATTGAGGTGAGGGGATTGTAATGTTTTCATTTTTGAAGACACTTCCAAAGAAAATTTGGAGGCACTCTGGAAAATATCTAGAGCCTGTTACCTGGGAGATGAGTTTGGAGACCGTGTGTGTCCACATTTCTGATCATACATCCTCCTCAGTAAAGAATTCTTTACAACAGATTCCCAGTGGATGTATGATTATTCGCAAATGATCATACTACGACTGTATTCATACACTACCTGCATTAAAATGTCCACAAAAAGTAAACACTAGAAGTATGACATAAAAACAAACGAGAGTCTTGGGACTAGGTGGAGCTGGTAGTTGTACAATATTGTGAATGTATTCACAGTCACTGGATTGTGCATTTTAAAATGGTTAATGTTTAATTTTATGTTATGTGAATCTAACCTCAATACAAATAAACAAAAGGAGTAAGCATGCTATTCAAGATTTTTCTTCCCCCAACTCAGTGTTTTCTTGAATGCCTTGGGTCCACATGCCCCTTTTGGGACTGGGGCATTGATGACGAAGCCTGGAGTAAGGGCCTGGCTCTAGGAAAGGAGACGAGAGAACAAATTTAGGTGTGGTTTAAGAGGTAGACTTGACAGGGCCTGGTGATTAAAGGTTGAGGAGTATATGAGAAAAGAAAGAAGGTAGGAAGACTCCCCATTTCTGTTTTGAATATTTGTTTTGTTTTTTTTTATACAAATAGTTTATTGTCAAATTGGTTTCCATATAACACCCAGTGTTCATCCCCACAAGCGCCCTCCTCCATGCCCATCACCCCCCTCCCCCTCCCCCCCCACATCCATCAGTCCTCAGTTTGTTTCTTAGCATTCAAGAGTCTCTCATGGTTTGCCTCTCTCCCTTTCCCCCACCATTTCCGCCCTTCTTCTCCCCCATGGTCCTCCGTTAAGTTCCTCCTAATCCTCCTGTACGTGCAAACATATGATATTTGTCCTTCTCTGCCTGACTTATTTGACTCAGCATAACACCCTCAAGGTCCATCCATGTTGCTACACATGGCCAGATTTCATTGTTTCTCATTGCCATGGAGTATTCCATGGTATAGATAAACCACATCTTCTTGATCCATTCATCTGTTGATGGACACTTAGGCTCTTTCCATGTTTTAGCTATTGTGGAGAGTGCTGCTATGAACATTGGGGTACATGTGCTCCTATGCCTCAGCATTTCTGTATCCCTTGGGTAAATTCCTAGCAGTGCTATTGCTGGGTCATAAGGGAGTTCTATTGTTAGTTTCCTGAGGAACCTCCACACTGTTTTCCAGAGGGGCTGTACCAGTTTACATTCCCACCAACAGTGTAGGAGGGTGCCCGTTTCTCCACATCCTCGCCAGCATCTAGAGTTCTCTGATTTGCTCATTTTAGCCACTCTGACTGGCGTGAGGTGGTATCTCAGTGTGGTTTTGATTTGTATTTCCCTGATGAGGAGGGATGCTGAGCATCGTTTCATGTGTCTGTTGGCCATCTGGATGTCCTCTTTGGAGAAGTGTCTGTTCATGTCTTCTGCCCATTTCTTCACTGGGTTGTTTGTTTTTCGGGCGTGTAGTTTGGTGAGTTCCTTATAGATTCTGGATATTAACCCTTTATCTGATATGTCATTTGCAACTATCTTTTCCCATTCCGTTGGTTGCCTATTAATTTTCTGGGTTGTTTCCTTGGCTGTGCAGAAGCTTTTAATCTTGATGAGGTCCCAATCGTTTATTTTTGCTCTTGATTCCCTTGCTTTTGGGGATGTGTCAAGTAAGAAGTTGCTGCGGTGGAGGTCAAGGAGGTTGTTTCCTGCTTTCTCCTCTAGGTGTTGATAGTTTCCTGTCTCACGTTCAGGCCCTTTATCCATTTTGAGTTTATTTTTGTGCATGGTGTGAGAAAATGATCTAGTTTCATTCTTCTGCATGTTGCTGTCCAGTTCTCCCAACACCATCTGTTAAAAAGGCTGTCTTTTTTCCATGGGATATTCTTTCCTGCTTTGCCAAAGATTAGTTTCCTGTATACTTTTGGGTCCAAGTCTGAGTTCTCAATTCTGTTCCATTGGTCTATGTGCTTCTTTTTGTGCCAATACCATACTGTCTTGATGATGACAGCTTTGTAGTAGAGGCTAAAGTCTGGGATGGTGATCCCTCCCGTTTTGGTTTTATTTTTCAGTATTACTTTGGCTATTCGGGGTTGTTTTGAATATTTGAATATAAGAGAAAGAAAGGTTGTCCTCTTGCCAGGGACCTGATGTGGTCAATGCTTGGATAATTTCCCAGTGGTTGGCATAGGCTTGCATGGAGCATTTTCTAGGTATGTCCAGAAGTGAATCCAGCCTGAAGATACAGATGAGTGGCCCTGTGTGGACAAGGATAATTGAGGATCAAACCCAAAGAAGCTGTGTTAGCCAAGGACAAAGCAAGAGGTCAGAAATAGGCAAACTCAGGAGTGGGAAACAGGAGCAAGTTGGGAACAGGGCAGGAAGGATTTCACAGGTTTCGTGGACAGGTAGGGGAGTTACAAACTAGGGTTTCATTTTGGCCAGTTGAGCCAGAGTGTCTGGGGGAATGTCATGGGAGAGCAGCAGAGACTTGTGAATATATGGATGTGGGCTTGGGAAGAAGCTACCTGTGGAGAACATGCACCACTAGACTAAGAATGGAGCCTTGGCAGGGGTGTGGGGGCAAAAATTAAGACATTGGCAGGGGAGTGGAAGCCTGACAATCAGAGAGATTGCCTGACCCAAACCAGGAGAATGCAGAGTATGGAGGCCAAGAGAGAAGTTCCAGAAGGAAAGACATGGCCATATTGTCAAACACTGCAGGGGGAGAGATAAGACAGAAACTGAAAAAGTAGCCATCTGTAAGCTCCCTGGTGACATTAGTGAAAGTAATTCCAGAGATGAATGGGGTGAATAGAGGTAAGTGTGTGGGGCAAGAAGACCTAATGTTGTAGGTTGACTAGTGAATGGAGATGAGGTGATCAAAACCTTACAAATAGAGCCGACTTGGGTCATGTTATTACTCATTTAGTGCACTCTCCCACTGCATCTGTATTCTAGAAAGTTCTAGAAGACTTATAGACCAGATGCCAGATAAGGCTTTTGGTTCTGGTCTCTTGTGTATGAGAATTTTGGGCTTTAAATCCATGTACTTGATGATAAGAATGTATTTAAGGGATTCCAAAGATGTTCCTAGGATTCTTTTAAGGAGTCTATATAGAGTTAGGGAGAGGCAGAGCAGTAGAGAACTTCACCTTGCCCAATATAACCAACCATATTCTTCTGGTTTGTGTCAGGTGGTCTTCCAGAGTGGGGTCCAGACTCTCGCTTTCAGTCTTCTGGTAGCCCTCGCCCTGCAGTGGGTAACAGGAGGCCAGTTGGGTGTCTGGTGGGGAAATGCCACTGGCTGGTTTAGTCATTCGCCTCCACACTTTCACATCCTCTATCAGCACCTGCACACTTCAGTCGTGACCACACACACTCTTCCTGTTTATACAGAAAGTGTCATTCAGAAAGCTTGCCAGGGAGACGGGAGCTCTACACACAGCCTCAGAAGAAAGAAGTTGAACGACTTATTTGGGAGGGAAAGAAAAGGACCTGCCTGTGAGTTGAGAGGTAAGATTAAGCCAGAGAGCGTCTGGGTCCTCTGGGTGGGGAAGAAGTAACTGATGCTTTGTATGTATCCTTTTGGGGGTGCATCAGGGTAGCCTGGCCCTCCTTCTCAGGACTGGGCAACAAGGAGCACCTCCACTGCACCCTATGGAGGTAATTCAGCCTTGGGTGAATGGCTGGACAGACTGTGAAGCAGACTTGGAACATGATCAGTAAAGGTTGCAGAATTCATGTGAGTGTGAGTGCAGCATGTGAAGAATATACAACCTTGGTGTGGACATGCTGACACCATTTGTGATCATAGCTGGGCATATGGGCCTCTGACCACTGTGACTGAACTTCATTTGGGCCAGAAAAGAGCCTGTGACATAGCCAGAGCATAGACCCCAGTGAATGGTCACAGAGAATGATTTCCCAGAGGCCTGGTCAGAGGAAGGAGAGAGTATGTATGGTTTACCCTAAAGCCACTGCTACTTCTGCATAAGTAAGTCAGAACACGTGACCTTCTCATCAACAGGGTCTGATAGCACTATCTCATATTCTTTGGACAGTACATTATATACTATGTATGCATGTTTGCTTGGGTGCACACATATCATGCACATATATGGTACATTATATGTATATATACACATATCATAGACACATCTGTAATACAAAATAGCAATAGCAACAATATTTTTTAAGCCAGAGAACTAATGATGTGACAAAGGAATTTTTTCCCTACTGTGTGAATTTCTTGCTATTCAGGCTCTTACAATTGTAAAAATGAAATCATATTTAAATATGCAGTTCATAATCCCTTTTATTCAAAGGGTGGTAAATTCCATGAGGTAGCGACTGTTCAGGTATTCTGTGGCCTGATATTGCAACAAAAATAGGTAAAGCCAACTGTTAACCAATACCCACAGCATCAAAGAACTGGGAGTAAACTCATTCTCTGAGCCTTGAGTGTACACACTAAATAATCAATTAAAAAATTATGGTGTCTGCTTTTCTCAAAAGCATTTGCCCCTTAGTGTGAAGTGAGAAAAGTTCCTTTCTCTACCTAGGTCCGTCAAGGATTCTCGTCTCACTGCTGATGTGAGATTGCTACAGTGAAAGTTACACAAACAATGTGCTAAGGTTTTCATTCAATGGTGGTTCTCTTTCTCTGGGCATCACTTGCATTTAGTGTTTAGTTGTGTCATGCATATTTTTATTCATTTTGCATTTAGAAAATGGAAAAATATACATTGCTCATTCACTGGATTTCCAAGTTCCAGTCTTAACTCTAACACTTGCTGTGACTTTGGGCAAGTCATTCATTACACCTCTCTGCGTCAGAGTTGTGACATCTGTAACATGGGTACAATAGTCTCTGCCTCTTAAGTAAGGTTTAGTGGGGCTAATAGACGTAAAGAGCTTAGGAGAGTGCCTGGGCCATTGAAAGGGCTCAGTAAGTGTTAGTGACTATCGTCATCATCATTATCCCCTTTTCCACAATTAAGCTGTCAGACTTGAAGGGAAATGGCAGGAGAGTGGGAAATATTGAAGGTGGGATGTGGGGTAGGAAATGAGTGTAGAAGGAGACACAGAGGAGGCCAGAACAAGCCCCCCTCCCCACCTACAGTGCAAACCCCTCAAAGGTGCAGTGAGCAGGAGTCTGGGAAAGAAACCCAGGGCAGACCTCCCTATGCATCCCACTGCAGGAGGAGCAGAGCTCTGGAGGTTGGAAGATTTGATTACACAAGCTCTTATGCCTCTTGAGTATCCACCTGCAACCAGCAACCTGGGAAGTAGATGTGTATAACTGGCATCCAAAGGACAGTACATGGCATGCGTTCAGTGTCTCTCACGTGTGTTCCCCTGTTACATGCCTTCTCATGTTATCACGTAAGATCCCTTGTGATTGTGCCTTTTTAGAAGATAGCTGATAGCTGGCCTAACGGTGCAGGGCTGGGTGGGATTGGGGAGAGTTGGGGTCTGACCATTTCCAGACTCTGTCTTCCTGGCTGCTAGTACTATACTCTACAGTACTAAGTGGTGTTGAAATATGACTGATGAGGAAGCCAGGTCCTAGAGAATTAAGAAACAAGTTCAAAGTCACGCTGGGGTTTAAAGGTATGAGGGGGAGCTGGATGCTGGTCTTTGATATCTAGACCCTTTATTCTACATATCAGATCAGAGAAAAAACTTACATCCTTGCATCCTGCCTCATGAGGTTGACAATTATGGGACTCCTTCAATAAATCACTTTCTCTTCCACACTTCAGTTTCTTTATCTGTAAAGTGGGTATAATAACCTGTCCTACATAGTTCACAGGGTTTTAGGAGATTCTAGTGAGGATACATTTATAAAATACTATTCTTTCTTATTCATGTAGGAGAAAAATGTTGAAAGTGACTTTCAGTATAGGCAGTTAAAAGGGAAAGGAAAAGGAAAATAATAAATGATATTGGTTCTTAATGACGTGTCATTGGGTGGGGTTTAGCTCATTCTTTGAAACAGCTGTTTTTCCCTGCCTGGTACCGATGTTCCATAAGCTGTTGAATCATTCCCATATATAAAAATTAATTTATTGATAACTTTCATAATATCACAAATCAAACTACAGTGACTGTTCTATAAATCCTGTGCTACATTTTACCAGTTCTTTTATTTTTTTGTGAATCTGATCACAAATGGTGTTCTCATTTTTGTTTTCATTGGCTTTTCTTTGATTATCAATGTGTTGATTCCCAATGTTTTAAAACATAACTGCAAGAAAATAAAAACATTATCCCTCATCCAAAAAACAGCCTAAATCCATGTTCTTTTTAAAGTGAAGTAGCACCATTTTTCTCATGATTAAAATACAAACAAGTATTTGTGTACATACATGAACCTACTGAGAAGGGCCTTGCCAAAGATTCCTCTTTATACCTTTTATCAGTGCTAAAAATGGGGGGGGGCTATCATGAATACAAGACAACTAGACTCCCGCGATAACTAATAAACATGACAATTTGATTTATTAATGGTCCTCTGCTGTAGTCTGTTGACAGATTTTTCCTTATGGAAAAATTACCATGGTTTAAATCTCTATCATATGGCACTTAATTCAATCGACAATATGTTACCAATTAGATCCTGCTTAAACTACCATCAGCCAGCAGACCACGGGACGTGTTAAGTAGGACAACAATCAGGTAACTAGTAAAATGCTTTGTGGCAGCTTTCTCAGGACCAAGGAGCAATGCTGAAACCGTGGAAAATGAAGAGAGGAAGGGCAAATACAGCATTTCCTTTTCCCCATTCTGAAAAAAGAAATTGTTTCACGTTCTCCTAAAAGTGTACCAAGGGTTTGTGTTTGAGCTGATAGTCACATGTGCAGATATTCACTACCCCTCTTCAGTCCTCCATCCTCTCACCTCCTTTGATGATAAATTTGCAAGCTGAAAGGCTTTCTACTCCAAAATCCTCTCTAATATGATAATGTAGAACTTCAACTCAGTCGTGATGTCCCATTTAGTCATGTGTTCTAAGAGTTCACCTTGCTCCTAAGCACCAGTGGTTGACTGCGGTAAGAGAATTCTTATTAAGAGGGATGAGCTTCTTTTCTTATTTTTGTCTTGGAATCTGGCTGTTATCAGTCAGTGTGCTGTTGCAAGAGAGAGAAACCAATTCAAGCTGTGCTAAACAAAAAGACAATCTTCTGGAACAATTTTGGGGGCTGACCAGGTGCAAAGTAGAGCAGCAAGCAAAGGGGTCTGAAGGCCAGGCAGCTAGAGCCAGTAAGAACACCATCAAGAAGCACAGTAACGGAAATGTGAACACAGTCCGGGCCATGTAATGTGGGGAGCACTGTGACAGATATGACCTCAATTGTCTCCACTTTGGGGCCATTACTTTATGTAAAATACAGAATCCCAGAAAGAAGGGAGAGTGTGATAAGCTGTATCTAGGTCACGTGCCTGCCCCCAGGGAAAGGTCAGGTCTGTCCATTTGAGTTCAGCCTCTACCTCCCAAAGCTATGCACTAGGAGGCATCTTCAAAAGAAAGGGCGGGGTGGTAATAGGAAGGGGTGGACAGTTAAAAGGTGAAAGCCAAAAATGCAAATGTCTGCCCCATGGTTACAGCTCTGCAGCCTCTGGGTGGAGGCTGGTTAGTTATAAACGCGAGAGATGAGCCATTGGTGGTTTGTTTCTATAGATATATGTACAAAAGGAGGAATTAGGAGACTGAGGTCCCACTGCTTCCTATATTCTCATTCTGGTCACTTTGCATCTACAGCTTTGCTTCCCTCCCATAGCGTGAGACCAAGGAATCTTCTTAAGGACCTGAGCAATAGTATGGAACTTCCTTCTAAATCAAAGTAACGAGTACTATTTCTCAGCTCTTACCTACGCCGAGCATCTTGTGGTCACTCCTGGAGACCCCATAACAGTGCTACTCTGTAGATATTCACATGTAGAGAATAGAGGCTCTAAGGTTAAGTGACCTGCCTGAGTGCACACAGTTAGACGTGAACTTCAAACCCAGGCTGCCCAGCTCTGAAACCTTCCACCTGAGCCAGCCTTAAGGCAATCTTGAGTTCAGGCTGCACAGCAGCAGCACATGTAGTATTGTTTGAATAACTCCTTTTCTTCCAGGACACCCCTGTGTGTGTGTGTCTGTTTGTGTCTGTGTGTGTCTGTGTGTGTGTGTGCGCACATGTGTGCACATGCATGCATGTGTGTGTGCTAGGCACACAGAAGCAGGAAAAATGTTGAGAGGAAAGTTAGGGGCTCAGAGGAAAAACATCCCATATGTTATAACTTTGCCTGGGCCGTCCCTGTTTCTAAATACCGTGACAATATTTTTTGAAGCAAAGATCAAAGAACATATGGTCTGACTCATGGGTTAACAAAGAGAAAAATATTTGAAATTGGAAATATCTGGGACAATTTGAGATGAGTGGCTACAGTCTTTCTCGGAGCACCTGGAAATCATGGAGTTCTTTGTGAAACGCTTTGAAATATTGGCATATTAAATCCCATTC